AACAATACATTACTATTGGGTTTATAAACAATAAAGTGCATCATCTATTGGGTTTACAAAGAAAACAATACATTACTATTGGGTTTATAAACAATAAAGTGCATCATCTATTGGGTTTACAAAGAAAACAATACATTACTATTGGGTTTATAAACAATACAGTGCATCATCTATTGGGTTTACAAAGAAAACAATACATTACTATTGGGTTTATAAACAATACAGTGCATCATCTATTGGGTTTATAAACAATACAGTGCATCATATATTGGGTTTACAAATAAAACGATACATTACTATTGGGTTTATAAACAATCCAATGCATCATCTATTTGGTTTACAAACAATATAGTGCATCATCTTTGGGTTTACAAATAAAACAATACATTACTATTGGGTTCATAAACAATACAATACATTAATATTGTGTTTATAAACAATACAATAGATTAATATTGTGTTTACAAACAATACTAATTAATTTCTGCGTCGTTTCTTTACTGGACATCAACACACCTTTCACACTCATTTGGCTAACTAAATTCCGCTTTCCTATGGTTATTTTAACTTCCTGTATGCCTTCTTTTCATACAAGTATACGATAGATGAAAAGGTTCAGAGCTACTATAAACATACATATATATACTAATATATATAGTAAACCAAGCCAGTAACAACGGACACAAAATACTGGTGGTAACGGAATCACGTAACATATATATTAAACCATGCCAGTACCAACGGACACAGCATACTGGCAATAACGGCGTCACGTAATATATATATATACAGCAAACTAAAGCATAATGGAGATAACGGCGTCACGTATTATATAAATTAAACTAAGCCAGTATCAACGTACACAGCAGTAACTCTTTTTCTGCGCAACAAATGACCTACTTACTTACTGTGAAAAATGTTGCTTCTTCAGCACATTTATATCAAGAATTAATTTAAGTGAAATATGGCTATCAAAAATAATGATCTCGATAATTATGTAAGTGAAATATGGCTGTCAAAAATAATAATCTCGATAATTATGTAAGTGAAATATGGCTGTCAAAAATATGATCTGCATAAATTACCAATAAGAGTTTTCTTTAAAAAATATTAAATAATCAGAAAATATTTTTATTTAAGAAGACCGATAGGTATCTGAATTTAACGAACTGATCTATGTGAAAAATCTATTTTCTATGTTTTGTGATAAAATACCTTTGAATAATTTTGTGACATAGTTTTATAATTATACAGTTAATTAGTTAAACATTTATTACAAACATCTAAACGTTATCAAAATATCCCAAAATTTTTAAACACAAGATTTTAACAAACGACAGTAAAAAATAAAAGAAACCACCACATCAAAGCACTTTCTCATGGATTATGCCGTTCGAGGATAAACTAATTTTGAACCAGATTGGTGGTACAGATATATTGACGACATTTTCGGTATATGGAATCATGGACTTCATTTTCGTTTGGTATTTATTAGTGTAGAGAAATACTCCTGTTTAGCTTTGGTTTTATTAGTGTAGAGAAATATTCCTGTTTAGCTTTGGTTTTATAAAGTGTAAAGAAATACTCCTGTTTAGCTTTGGTTTTATAAATATAAAGAAATACTCCTGTTTAACTTTGGTTTTATTAGTGTAGAGAAATACTCCTGTTTAGCTTTGGTATTTATTAATGTAGAGAAATACTCCTGTTTAGCTTTGGCTTTATCAAATGAGAGTAATACTGCTGTTTAACTTCCGTGTTTATTAATGTACAGAAATATTCTTGTTTAGCTTTGATATTTATTAATGTATAGAAACACTCCTGTTTAGTTTGGTATTTATTAATGTACAGAAATACTCCTGTTTAGTTTGGTATTTATTAATGTACAGAAATATCCCTGTTTAGCTTTAGTTTTATCAAATGAGAGTAATACTCCTGTTTAACTTCCGTGTTTATTAATGTACAGAAATATTACTGTTTGGCTTTGGTTTTATTAATAATGTAGAGATAGGTCCCCTTCTGTTTAACATTCATAATACAAGACATTAGAAGTTGGAGAAAATGACAATGAAAGAGAATAGAAACTGATTACTATAGAAGTTAGAAAATAATTTGATGTGACTAGAATTCTTAATTCAGTGAATAAAATACGTGGCTGCGCTGGAAGAAGCGACAAAGAAACGTTGTTAAAATGAAATGGAGTGTTTTTTAAAAAAGTACTCGACATTCAGAGGGTTTTATTTCTGCTTCAGTCTTATATGTTTTAATGTACTATATAAATATAAGATTCTACTAGTGTGTGTGACATTGTTTTTTGTGTCATACTATTCACACGTGTTCTGCAAGGTTTAGTAGATACTATGAAGCTAAGATTTATATGGCAGAACGCCACCTGAGACCCATATCACAGATTTTGGTTGCGTTATCAAGAGAGGCCTAAGGTGGCTCTTAAAGTTGTCAGTAAAACTTTGTGAGCTTTTAGCCAATAGTTATTCTTAGTGGTCTTTAAATGCTTCAAATGTACGTTTACTGGAATAGTTAGAGCTACAATTTCCATTGATTCCGTGGTATTATCTTTATTTATCGCTTGAAGCTGCGGAATGACACTCTAGCGACTACAATATGAAGACAAACATTTCAGTTTAAGAGCTGATTTTTTTGTGAGATTTCAACACATTCTTCCCTGTGGAAATGATAATGAAAAATAAAGCTAACTCCGAAAGGATAAAAATGTAAAATAAATTATTATTTCAGTTTCATTTTGTACTATATTTCTGTTGAGAGTGTGAATTAGAGTGAACATTTTCTAAATGTTACCCTTCAAGAAATCCACTTTTTCTGTAATTTTAACCATTTAAATAAGAAACTTGTTTTTCGTTCTTTTGTGTTATCGACTCAAAACATAATAAATATCTGAAGTTGTTCATTCATTTTTATAGAAATTCGATATTTTATGGACATATGACAATGTAATATCCTGTTGATTTTCAGACTTCTTTTAAAAATTTAATGGATAATCCAAGTTCTATAGCGACATACAGACATGCCTCTAAATTTCTCTTAACGTTAAGTCAAACTTAGGTCGCTATCTCTTACATTTCTCTCATCAGTAAGCCAAATTTAGTACGCTAGCTCTTACATTTCTCTCAACAGTGAGCCAAACTTAGGTCGCTAGCTCTTACATTTCTCTTCGGGGAAGTCAAACTTAGGTCGCTAGCTCTTACATTTCTTTCAACAGTGAGCCAAACTTAGGACGCTAGCTCTTACATTTCTCTTGGGGGAAGTCAAACTTAGGTCGCTAGCTCTTACTTTTCTCTCAATGGCAAGTCCAACTTAGGACGCTAGCTCTTACATTTCTCTTAATGGGAAGTCCAACTTAGGTCGCTAGCTCTTACATTTCTCTCAACGGCAAGTCAAACTTGTCG